CTGGTCAGACCACAGTTGGAATACTGCGTGCAGTTTTGGGCGCCGCACTTAAAGAGGGATGTGGATAACCTGGAGAGGGTCCAGAGAAGGGCCACTCGTATGGTTAAGGGCTTGCAGGCCAAGCCCTATGAGGAGAGACTAGGGCACCTGGACCTCTTCAGCCTCCGCAAGAGAAGGTTGAGAGGCGACCTTGTGGCTGCCTATAAGGTCATCATGGGGGCACAGAAGGGAATTGGTGAGGTTTTACTCACCAAGATCCCCCTGGGGGTTACAAGAAATAATGGCCATAAGCTAGCAGAGAGCAGATTTAGACTAGACATTAGGAAGAACTTCTTCACAGTTAGAGTGGCCAAGGTCTGGAATGGGTTCCCAAGGGAGGTGGTGCTCTCCCCTAACCTGGGGGTCTTCAAGAGGAGGTTAGATAGGCATCTAGCTGGGGTCATCTAAACCCAGCACACTTTCCTGCCTATGCAGGGGGTCGGACTCGATCTATTGAGGTCCCTTCCGACCCTAGCATCTATGAATCTATGTGCACTGTGCCCATGAGAGACCCTAGTGGCGCAGGAGACAATCTGCATCTGAGTAAGCGGGAGGGATGGAGCGGGGAGCAGAAGCTACAGAGGGAAAGCAGAGAAGGGGCAGGAGACTACAGTGGATATGACTCTGGCCCCCACCTGAACTCAGGGTCAGGAGTCAGAGCTGCAGCAGCTGCCTGTTCCCCACTCTACTTCGCATGCAAATATGAGGGGCTTCCCCCTCACTACTGACTGGAGGAAAAAACCTTGTCTTATATTTGAGTAAATCTGGTCGTTTTTGTTAGAAATTGAGTAAATGTGGTCGTACACTTGGGTCCCGGCTCCGGTGCAAGACAGACAGGTGAAAGCCCATTGCACCCCTGTGAGCCCAGGGACCCCCCCAAGAGACCCTAGGACCTCCAACCAGCCCCGACCTGCCCACAGTTAAGCAGGGGCCCATAGTAGGAGGGACATAGCCCAGCAGGGAGGCAGCTCAGTGGAGCCGAGGAGGGTCAGGCCCTCCCCCGGCACCTACTTCGCCCAGCCTCCCAGGGAGCCATGCGTCCGGAGCCTCACAAACAGGATGTGCAAACAGGCGCGCTTCTGGGCCCGGTGCATGCGTTTGTGCAGGAGGGTGTGCAGGAGGGCTCAAGGCCCTGCCAGTGAGCCCTCCTACCTCCTCCTGGGAAGGTAGTCCCATCAGTAGTCGGCCTACCAGTAGCACGATGCGGATGGGCACATGCCGTACCCCAAAGGTCCCCTCAGAGTCTGCGGCCTCCCCGCCAGCACCTCAGAGGCCTCCACCCAGACGGAGCCCCTGGTTCTGGGCTCCACGCAGACGGAGCCCCTGGCTCTCAGCTGCGGGGCTGCCTGGCACGTTTCTAGGCTCATAGGACCGGGAGCATGGCCACCTCCCCTTGTGAGGTTTGCTCCACTTTGGAGTCTCTGGGGCACCAGACAGAGGAGCTCCAGGCTGCAGTCCAGAGACTGCATGCCATCAGGGATGGCGAGCAGGAGACAGACTCCTACTGCCAGGCCCTTCACCCCCTGGAGGTGGAGGGCAGACCAAGGTCACCTTCCAGGACAAGGGAGGACTCGGGGATCTCTCATACTGTCCAGCCAGGGGGTTGGACCAAGGTGGTCAAAGGCCCCAAGGCCCACCACACCAAGGTCCCCTCCCCTCTATGGCTTTGCAACAGGTACAAACCTCTTGCAGTCCCAGTAGAGCCTGCAGAGATGCCAGCTCCTGCAGGCAAGGGAGGATCACCCACCCCAACTCTCCCTAAGACAAAACGCAGAGTGGTCGTTGTGGCAGACTTCCTCCTGTGTGGGACTGAGGGAGCCATCTGCCACTCCGGCCCCCTTGCCCGGGAGGTCTGCTACTTCCTGGGGGGGCCAACATCAAGGACATAGCAGAGAGGATATTAAAAATTATCCAGCTGTCCGACCACTACCCTATGCTCCTTATCCATGTGGGCACAAATGACACGGCTCGGAGCAATCCCAGGCGGGTCATGAGAGACTACAGGGCTCTGGGAGTGGTGCTTAGGGGGCTGGGGGTGCAGGTGGTCTTTTCCTCGCTCCTCCCAGTTGTGGGTCATGGGCTGATGAGGGAAGAGATGGGTCGAGGTAGTCAACCAAAGTTCTGCGGCGCTGGTGTTATTGTGAAGGCTCTGGCTTCCATGATCACAGTCTGCTCTTTGGTGAGAGAGGCAATGGTCTGCTGGTGAGAGATGGCCTCCACCTCACTCTGCTGGGGAGGAGGCTCTTTTCAGCCAGACTGACTGACCTGCTCGACTGGGCTTTAAACTAAGCCTGACAGGGGATGTGGGGATTACTGCCACCACAAGCCCACTGGGCAATCTTTCTAAATCCAGCAGGCTAAGGCACTTAAGGGAGCCCACCCCTACCCTAGCCCTGGAATGATCTGTAGGGAAGGCAGGGGCCCCCAATGGGACACAAGTCCCATTGTACATTGGTGTACAGGCAAGTCCTCCCTTGCCTGTACACCAATGCCAGGAGCTTGGGGAATACAACAGAAGGAACCGATGCTCCTGCTAAACAAGAATGATTATGACCTCACACGGATAACAGAGACCTGGTGGGAATCCACCTATGACTGGGCCACAGGTATAGATGGCTATACCTTGGCTATACCCTGTACAGGCGAGATTGTACAGATAAAAGGGGTGACGGTGTAGCTCTCTGTGTCAAGGACAGCTACACATCCCTGCAAATTGACATTTGCACTCAGGAAGGAAGACTGGAGTCTCTCTGAGTTAAGATACATGGGGAATGTGGCAAGGGAGGCCTTAATGGTAGGAATCTCTTAATGGTAGAGCACTCAGCCAAATGTGATCAGTTGCAAAGCGTCCTCATGTCCGTGGACACGCTCTACCTGACTCAAGAAGTCTATGGGCCAACAAGAGGTAAAGCATTACTGGACCTGATACTGGCCAAAGGGGATGATCTGGTCAGTGACCTAAGAATTGATGGAAAGCTGGGTGACAGTGACCATGAGCTGATCACTTTTACTATCCATCGCAATGCTGGCAAGTCAGTCAGCCATACAGAAGTCCTCGACTTCAGGAAAGCTGACTTTGACACGCTCAAGAGGCTCGTTGTCAAGGCCCTAAGGGACCATGACTCGACTGGAAGAGGAGTCCAAGAGGAGTGGTTGCTCCTCAAGGGAGCAATCCTGACAGCACAAGGGATAGCCATCCCATCTCGGAGGAAGGGTAGCAAAAGGGCACAGCAACCCCCTTGGCTCAGCAGGGAATTTGAGGTCCTATGCTTCAAGAGAGAGACTTATAAAGGAGGAAGGCTGGAACTACCACCAAGGAGGAGTACTCAGCACTGGTCCGTACCTGCAGGGAGCAGATCAGGAAAGCAAAGGCTGCAACTGAGCTCCATCTGGCTTCACATATCAAGGATAACAAAAAGTCCTCTCTCAGATATGTAGGGAGTCAGGGGGGAAAAAAGCAAGGGTAACATTGGACCCCTGGTGAACCAAATGGGACAGCTGATAAACGACACCCAGGAAAAGGCCAATCTGCTCAATGGGTACTTCGCATCAGTCTTTCATCAGTCCAATGGGAACGCCCTGCCTAGCAAGACGTGGGATGGCCATGGTGAGGGCATATTTATACCTAGCATCAGCGTTGATCCTAGTGAAGGATCACCTTGAGAGGCTGGACACCTTCAAGGTCAGCTGGTCCTGACAGATTATACCCTGGAGTACTCAAGTAGCTGGCAAGTGTCATAGCCCAACCATTGGTAAAAATATTCGAAAACTCATGGTGCTCAGGTGAATTATCTGAAGACTGGAAGAAGGCCAATGTGGCCTTCCATCTTCAAGAAAGGGCAGAAAGTAGATCCCGGGAATTACAGGCCAATCAGCTTGACCTCAATCCCCAGTAAGATTCTGGAGAAAATTATCAAAGAGACCCTACTGGATAAACTGGCTAAGGGCAACACCCTGAGAGCACAGGTTTGTCGTGAGTAGGTCTTCCCTGACCAATCTCATCTCCTTCTATAACCAGGTAATGTATCACCTGGACAAGGGAGAAGAGATTGATGTCATATACTGGACTTTATGACCTCCACATGGAAAAACTGGCCAACTGTGGCTTCGGTTACACCACAGTCCGATGGCTGGGAAACTGGCTCCAAGGTCGGACCCAGACAGTAGTGGTCGATGGTAGCAAATCATTATGGGGCTCTGTGACCAGTGGCATCCCCCAAGGCTCTGTCCTTGGACCAGTTCTCTTTAACATCTTTAGCAACGATACGAACATTGGTGTCAGAAGTGCACTGGCTAAGTTCGCCGATGACACTAAACTTTGGGGCATAGCGTCCGCACCTGAAGACAGGCTAGGGATCCAGGCTGACTTGAATAAACTTAGTAAGCGGGCGGATAAAAACCTGATGACGTTCAATACCAATAAATGTGAGGTACTCCACCTCAGGGGAAAAAAAGCCTGCAGCATACTTATAGGCTTGGCAGTGCTATGGTTGCTAGCACCACTGCTGAAAGACTTGGGGGTCATGACTGACCATAAGATGAACAAGCAAACAAAACTCTGGTTTGCATCCATAGATGCTTCTCAAGTAAATCTCAGGATGTCACTCTCAGGATGCCATCCTCCCGCTGTACTTAGCCTTGGTGAGGCTGCAGCTGGAGTACTGCATCCAATTCTGGGCCCCACAATTCAAGAAGGACACTGAGAAGCTTGAGAAAGTCCAGAGGAGAGCCACGCGCATGATCAGAGTGCAAGAGAATAGGCCTTATTATGAGAGTTTTAGAGCCATGGCTCTCCTCAACCTTGAAAAGCACAGGCTCAGGGGGGTCCCACTGGCTGCTTATAAGTACATAAGGGGTGTACATCAGGACCTGGGAGAACGTCTGTTCACCAGAGTGCCCCAAGGAAAAACAAGGACCAATGGTCATAAACTCCTCCAAGACCATTTTAGGCTGGACATAAAATTTTCTTTACTGTCTGAGCTCCCAAGACCTGGAATAGACTCCCTCCAGAAGTGGTGCAGGAACCTACTCTGGCCTCATTCAAGAAACGCTTGGATGCTTATCTTGCTGGGATCCTTTGACCCTAGCTGACTTCCTCCCCCTGGGGCAGGGGGCTGGACTTGATGATCTTTGAGGTCCCTTCCAGCCCTAACATCTCTGAAATCTATGAAATTCCACCAGTAATAGCAGGGGAATTAAAACGCCTATGGCTGGTCTAGATTAAAATGGTCCACAAGTACTTGCTCTATGATGAAGCCCTCTAGCACTGAGGCCATGCCTTTGTGTGTGCAGTGCCTAGCAGAACAAGGCACTGGTACCTAACTGGTGGTCTCACTGTATCATAATAAAACATAAATAAGTATTTTCTGACCCTGCTCATGTTAACTATCTTGCTGCAAAATCCTAGGAGGCAGTGTAGTTTTTACTGAGATAGACCAGCATGCTCAACACCATATCCTTGCCTGTGAGTCATGTCACCTACCTACCTTACCTCTCACCTTTGCTACCAGGTGTTAATTATTCCTCTGTAAGCACTTATAATTACAACTATGCAGTGAAGATACCTTATTTCCAGTAAGGGTATCTGAGGTTAACAAAACAAAAGCTAAAACATACATTTAATCCAAGCTTATTTCAAGAGGTGGCATTACATAGATATTTAATAATATTATTTACCCTACCCTCTCTGCCACTTTCCATATTTTGGCAAGATAACTCTTAACATCTCATAGAACTGACATCAAACCAAATGATCAAATAAAAACAGTTTCCCTTTTTATAACAAACAAATCTCAGCATCTTGTACTTGTATCTCTAGCAGGGATGTAAATAGCTGTGAGCAAAAAAAACCCAAACCAAACAAACAAACCCCCCAAAACCACACAATCCAAGCTCCCCAAAAGACATCAGAGAGTCAGTAACACCTTCTCATAACAGAAGGTATTAACATACAATAGCTGGAATTAGATTAACCATACAAATTCATCATTTGAAAATATTGTTCTTGAGTTATCTTACTTGGGAATAGATGATGGCCAAATAGAAATATGCTCTGCTGCAATATCGTTCACAATGTCTTCCTAAGAGGAGAAAGACAGTACAACAGAAGTTACTGATGCAAGCACCTGCTTTAAAAAAAAAAATGGAAGGATGACAATGATGGTAATGATACTGTACTCACCCGGACATTATGAAGCTTGACAAACAGGGACAATATCGTAGTCAAAACCAATGGTTCCTATGAGAGACCAAGAGAGGGGGGGAAAAAAGAAACAAACAAACTTACAAGAATAAACAACAGTCCATTTTCTCCTCCTCAACCTCTGGAACTGTCAAAATCCCTACTTTCATATAATTTTGTTAGGACTCCTGCAATATACAGAAAATTGTTCACAACAGTTGTGTGGAAAGACATTAAGTAAGGGAATGTATCCCAAGTAGTTGAGTAAACAATCTTTATTTTAGGCCATCATGTATATTTGCCTCTCCTCTGGCTGATTTGTCTCTAAACTGTGGTTCTCAATTAAAACACATTTCTTTCTGATGTGTGCATGCTTTCACTGTAATCCAAACAGCAGCTACCTTCTCATCCCCAAAACTGCTTAGATTGTGTTGGACAATACAGCACATAGAGGCCTTCAAGGTAAAGAGGAGGAAGTTGGTTTGAAAGGAAGAAAAAAGCAATTTCACTCAACTGTATTTGTAACAACAGAAGATTCACGTGGTATCTAGGGTACAAGTTTATCAAAAACCCACTGTGACCAAAACTGTAAAGACATATGATATGTCTGAACTAATTTGATTTTACTGTGGGCAAAAGTGGAGCAGACATGTGACATACAACCTTGTAACAGAGTAAGTCACCCTGCTCCAGAGTAAAGTTACCCATAGGAAAGAGCATCAGTGCACTGGTGTATATCAGGCATGTGCTTGCAGCTCTAATCAATGTATTCCCAGGATAGCCATTTGCACAGGACAAAATAAGCTCTTTATTACCCTGCTCCTACTGGCAGGGCATAGTGACAGTGCTGACCAGGTAGCTTCCTCTAGAGAGCTGGTCATGTGCCTGCTGTGAACACCAGTATAAACTTAATTGTGGAGTAAAAGCCCCAAGGTAAACACATTGTGTGTCACCATCCAAAAATCCCTAACATTAGAAGCTGGTGGAGTTTCAAGCAAGTAATTCAGCACAACTTGTACTGGCTAGCAAGGTAAATCTCTAATTAAATCATATGCCATACAAAGCATCTACGTTTCCAGAATTTAATGGGAAATGAAGTCCAGTGAAATATAATACCAAAACAGAAACAGACACTGAAGCTCATAATTTAACTTACCCGTAGCTTTTTGATAAAAGAGAGTAATTCACTCCTAAAGAAAGATACAAACACATACATAAGGAATCAGAATATCATCCATTAGAAAGAACACAGGCAATTAGCCTGATTGACTCTACAGGTGGGAACATTTTCAGTTACAGCTCTGCATATTCAGGATACATGTTCTATTCTAATAGAACTATTGGGCTGTTCCATTTTAAAAGTTTCACAAAATGTCTTTTTTGTTTTTAGTTACACTTTTCATTTAGTTATTTTTCTCATATTTATTTGTACAGAGGGTGAGAAAAAGGTGCCTTGCATACACAAAGGTACTCTGTAGCCCCTTATACTACTGGACAAAAAAAAATTCTCAACCAGTAAACCTTGTCATGTAATCTTCATGAAAAGCAGAGCTACCACCCTGTCTGAATTAGAAGAAGAATCATATCAGGTTCAGTGTCTCAGAGTATAACTAGGCCCTGTTCCCTCTGGCTTCAAGAAATTACGTCACCAAAGCTACTTAAAAGAAAGGGCAAGCCTGCACATTCCAAAACTGCACAAAAATGCAAAGCAACCTGCTTTTTAGATATAAATTAAATTAGTATAAGAGTTACCAAAGAACAGTTCCTGGAGTTCTTAAAGTGCCACCATTCCAAAGCTCTAACATGGAGGGGCTGACCTAGGTTAGAGGCCCCAACAAGTAGCAGAAGGCTTGAAGTAACCTTGAACTTCATACTAGCTGCAAAAGCCTCTCAAGTTGGGAAAAGTGATGATACCTCTGCATTAACTAAAGAGTAGAAGAGGGGTTAGCAACAGGTTTGGGCCAGAGTACCAAAAACACCCCAACCTTGATTTATAAAATGCTGGCGTGCTGGGGCAGATGGCGGGGTAGCTGCAAGGGGCCTGATCTTTGTTACAGCAGCAGCAGCACAGCTGTGGCCCTTTCCCCACCATCCGCCTGGAGACACACACGCACCCACCACCAGTAACAAGCCTGGCTGGGTGCAGCAGCTTGCAGCCTCCACACCGCCTGCTGTGAGCAGCCTGGGCTCCATGGCAGGTGGCAGAGGACAGCCCAGAGTCCAGGCTGGCTGTGGCAGGCAGCCAGGAAACAGCAAGCCCCTGCACTAAGGTCTGTGGAGCCCTGGCCAGGCTTGCTGCTAGCAGTGAGTACACACATAGGCCTCTGGGTGGATGGCAGGGCAGCTGCAAGGAGTCTGATCCTTGTTGTAGCAGCACAGATCTGGCCTGCCCCAAGGCTGATGTGCCAAGCAAAATGCCTTCACGTGTCACACTCTGGCGCACATGCTGGGGGTTGCCAACCCCTGGATTCGAAGATGTTTGTTGACTAATGGTGAAACCTATTGGAGCCAACAAGAAGTTTTTTTACTGACAAGGTGATTCTTGGCTCCACTGAAGTATACTTTCTGAGAATAGTCTTGATTCAACAATCAATAAAGACATATTAATGCCAATACCTAGAAGTTGCCAAGGGCAGTTGGGAGATGCAAAGGTGATTTTTTTTTTTTTTTAAAATCAGTCTTTCAATTCCATATTTGGCATCGTCTTCCAGGAATTGCCTGCATTCAGCAACTGGATTAGTTGGAATGGCTTGGCGGTATTAACCAGATAAACAATCCATGGACACCTACCTGTACATAATGCCCAATGTAGATTCTCTGTGCTTGATTAAGCTTACTCTACCATCATTGCCTCGCTTGTGCTGGTTAGATACACTGCAGATCTGCACAACCACTTCCCAAAGGTCTTTAGCTGTCCGTCTACTTTCCTTGGGCCCTGGAAGTTCTTTGCATGTAGCAGCCAAGAGCTGTCCTAACTATGTAAGATGAAACAGCAAAAGTACTGGGGTTAGAGCTCCTCTGCATTTTAAACAAGGAGTAATAGGGACATTTGATATTTGTGTTAAAGACCTAATTAGGCCTTACTTCGTACTTTATAAGCAAAGGGGGAACTAAACTTTGCAACTGGAAAAGTTGCAAAGTTACTACAGGCTATACCAAACATGTGTAAAAGGGATCAGACTGTTAATACCTTTGTTTTTAATAATGTAGTGAACTCTAGGAAAACTGAAGTTCCCAGAAAACACCACTTCATTCTTGATACAAACACATTTCCATGTCACACTGCAAGACTACAGGCTGCATTTCACTATCCCTGCTATATGGAACAATCGGAAGGCACAATCTGAAGTTAAAAACCAAGGTTAAAAATATGAAGAGTAACTGCAAAGTGGACAGAACGGACCAGAGCAAGAATTTTCAGCACAGAATACAATGTGTGAGCATCTTGCTCCAATGTAATAACCTAACTTTAAGTACATACAACATTGCTGCAAAACCCAAATAGGTTTAAAACTTGAAACTTCAAATGGAATACATTTGAACTGCATGGCAGTATTTAACTTAGTCAAACGATTAAAAAAAAACTGCAAACAATTGAAACCTACACTAGGTAAACTAAATACTCTAAACACATTACAGAATTAAGGCCTGATTCTTAACTCTTCACATTCCCTGCATGTACCACTTAAATACTTTGTGCTTCAACTGTAACTACGGGGAACCAACTGATCATTGTTAATGTCTCACTTATGTTAGATAACTGTGAAGCCAGCTTGCTAGCAAGTTACCAGGTAAGGTGGTTATAAGCTGCGTCTGTTGTCTCAGCTGTTCTTACAGCTTTGGGGCTAATCTTACTGAACCTCAACCAAACTCTACCATACATTTAACATGTACTATATGTCAACACATTTGGTTTATTGGAAGGTCTTCTTTATTCATAATTAAAGTTAGAACTAAACAGGAGAGAAACAAGAGGTAATGACGCATGCCTTTACAAAAACAGGGTCCTTAAAAAAACAAAGTCAGATTTTGGCACCTTACCCCTTTAAGACTGAATATCCATTACCTTCACATAAGGATTAGTCTGCACCAGAGGTAAAGGAACTTGCATTGTTAAGTATTCATTCTCTCTCCAGTTTAACAAGAAGGCAACACATTCTTCTGCTATGACCTGGCGAAGGGGAATATCTAGAAGATATATATTTTTTTAAAAGTTAACCCATTGACTTAAAACTTTGAATTAATTCCATCCCCCCACTCACTGCCCCCTTTCTCCCTGCTGCCCTCCCCCAAACCCTCAGCATAAAATGACAAGTGGCTGGGAAAACATGGAATTAATTACCATTAACACCAGGAATTCTGTGGATACAACTACTCAAAGTCTATCTGCCACAATCAACCCACTTTAGATTCATATATTTTATAGCAGCAAACATGAGCACCAGGAACAACCTCTACCTTCAGCTGAAGGTTTAGATACTCAATACTTAAAAGTCAGGCTCACAGGAATCAGATGATAGCCAATTTTCAGCAGTCATTTGCCAAAGTGGTTCTTGCTAACAGTATAGAACAACAGTCCCCTTTTCAGACTTGGTCTTTTGCTCCATCCTTCCTTTTGGAGAGGTAGTTTCTCCCTCAAATCATCTCCCTTGATCACACACTATCAAACTTAGCCAAGATAAAGCTGCAGCTACCCTAAAATTTGTAGTAGCTCCCCCTGCTACTCCCCCTCCAAGTACTGCCACCCACCTTGCCCCAAGTGCAGCTTGGCTCAGCCCCCACTGGGAAGAACCCACCGTGGCCCCAGCCCACATCTGCAGCCTGCTTGCACCCTGTGTGCAGATCTGGGGGCACCCCCCCATGCCCTCCCAGGGTGCGGGCAACAAATGGCAGGCAATGCCCCTCCCCTCCCTTCCCTGCAAGAGCTGCAGCTCCATCCTGTACCCCATAGTCTGTGCCGTGACTGCTTCTGCTATAGCCTCAAACTTGCAACCTTTGGGCTGTCTACTGCATGCCTTAGCACACCCCAGCCCCCTCCTGAGAGACTGATCAGCAACATTCTTACCAGGTACTCTCATTTCCAAATATCCTCGGACTCTGCTTATCAGATCAGAGGGAGGACGTTCTCCAGAAACTCCTGCTCCTGCTTCATGAGTGTAAATGTCCAAGAGCAGCATTTCATTCAGCATGACCTGACGCAGCTTTGGAGAAAACTCTGTCACGAGTTCCAGGCAAGCAGCAAAAAGCTGCTTTGCATGGACAAAATCCTGTAATAAAAACATAGCAACCGAGAAACACATCGTTACTTCCATTTAGTCATATTTATGTGAAGAAATTTATGTGAAGTTTACATGAAAAAATAAAAAGAGCGCTGAAATATTGCTTAGTGATTCAAGCTTTGGCACTCGTGTAATGCCAGTTGCGGGTCCTTGGCATTGCTTAACATAATCTTTGAATACTGTCAACAAGCTTCAGATTGATGTGATACAGTGTAAATTACCAGAATTCTGGAGTGTTCAAGCAAAACAAAGTTTACATAGAAAGATGTACTGAAAAAACAAACAAATTTGAGGCACATGCTAGGACTCTTTAATCCTATGGTTCATTAGCCAGGGGCTTTAAGGCAATGAACAATTTTTTCATCTAATACACATTTGTTAAAACAGACAGCCAAAGGCTTGGCTAGCTGTAGCACTATGGCATAAAACAAACTTAGGTACATTACTGCATTAATCATTAATATATTTTGGTAAGTCTAAAGCAAGACTTCACATAAATGAATTTACTCTTCCTTACAACTTTCCAGTAAGTTGAGTATTGCTCTTATTTTATTATTGAGGTAGGAAGACAAAGTAGTACTAAATGGCTTGCTCAGGACTGTTTCATGTTATTCTTAGCTTGTTAAATGCACTTAACACAAGAGCAACTGCATGTTCAAGCAGTAGAACGTGTGCTAAGTGCACTTGTGTTGTAGCAAAGTTACGACTTTTCCCATGAGGCGCATCTCCAGACTGTATTAAGTAATATGTGCTCAGCTGTTGTTGGGCTGCTTCATGGAGATAATATGAGCGATTTGTGATCCTCACTCACATGTGACATCAACCAGGGATCCCTCTACTATACTAAGCCTCTAGTCCAGGTGGGACGAGGACAGCTACAACGGTCAGGAGGGAGGATCCTGGTTCTTTCACTTGCCAGGTTCCTCCAGGATCAAGTTGAAAGCTGGGTGCCCACAGTCCCATAGGGTCCCAGGGCTTGGACCAACAATCAGTGAGCAGTGCATGTTAGAAATGGCAATAAACATTACCATGTGATTGGTCAGAACATTTTCTAAACTTTAATACTGCACAAATTTAACATGTACTAAGTGTCCTGTACGACAAAGGCCTCTAATTACACAGAAACCTACTACAACAGTATAGCTATATTTCTTTAAAATAGCATTCTGTTTCCTCTTGTGGGTTACAAAGGATAAATTGCAGGCTTATTGCACCCAAGCATAGCACCATTTTCAGTGTTTACTAGATCAAATACATTGCTGTACAGTAAAATATTCAACTAAAGAACAGCTTAACAAGTATACTGCAACCAGCTCTTACTGGAAAATAGGATGTTCTTATGGGACAATGATTTTTATCCTTAACCATCAAAACATGCATGTATTAATGCCTATATGGTTTGCTCACCTTAATTGCACTGCAGTGTAACCCTTTTGCCATCAGGATGTAGACCAAATCTCTGGTCAAATTGTCCTTAATTCCTAAAATAACGTTGCCATAAACATTTGGTACTTCCCACTAGGAGAGAAATGTGTTAAACATAATTCATAACAGGAAGACTTTCTGGAACTATTAAGCCACTTATAAATGTTAGTGACATTCTTACTGAAAGCCACATCCAAGTTCCAGCTCAACATACACATTTGGGATTTTTTAAAAAATAAATTAGTCTTTGCATCCAGAAAAATCTCATTATACAGATAAATTTGCAGGGGACTTCACATACAAGTAGATGCATTAGTAGTAGTTACCATGAGAAAATATATAAGGAATCCCTACATTCCCTACATGAAGCTTCAACAGAATATTTAAGAGCTCAAAAGAAAAGAAAAACACCCTTAACTCTTCAGGTTAGTTTGACAGTTTAGGATAACTCTTTATATAATATAAAAATGCCATACTGGCTTAGACCAATTGCCCATCTACCCAAGTACCCTGGCTCTCACGGTGGCAATTAGATGCTTTAGGAGGGAGAGTATATGTACACAGCATGTCTAACGTAATCCATTCCCTGTCATACCCTCTCAACCATAATTGGTTTAGGGATAAATCAGAGGATACCCCCCTGACTGTTCTATTTAATAGCTCTCGATTGACCTGTCCTCCATAAAGCTGTTTAACCCAGCGATTCTCAGCCAGGGTGCCAGGGCACCCCAGAGTATTGCCAGGTCTTTTGAAGGGTGCTGTGAGATACAAGAATGTAAGTGAGGTGTCACAAGATAAACAGATAAACTAAGCAGATAACTGCAGGCTCATGCTTGTCCCTGCCTGGATGAGCCCTCATTTTTATTCCCAGGCCCCTCCACAAGGAAGTAAACACTGTAATCTATAAATTAGTTTTTGAAAATGGGTGTGCTCAATTCACAAGGTATGGAGGGGATCATATATCTGTGCCTCAAGTCCAATGAGAGGTGCCTCAAGTCTAAAAAGGTTGAGAACCACTGCTCTAACCCCTTTTTTGAATAAGGCTGTACTATCTGCCTCTGTGTCCATCTGGTAACAAGTTCTACAAGTTAACTACATACTGATAATTCCAGTAGATGGCCCCTATTCTTTTACTAATGACTACTAGTAAATTCCAGGAATTTAAGCCAAGAGCATACAAATTGGTATTTCTTTAGGCATCATGCTTAAAACAACAACAGAGAACCTGGTTTTCCCAACACCAAAGACTGCATCTTACAGCCAGTTACATACTGAAAAAAAATTCTAATTCAGTGAGGCAAGTAACAAGCATAATGGGGGGGAAAATGCAATAATTCTCTGAATTTAGAGAATTTTTTAACAATATGAGTTCTTAGATATGCCTTACCAACATCATCATGAAGACAGGGAAGATGGACATGGAAGTCAAACAAGTTACACAAGATCAAACTGCAGGTTTGTGGCAGAGCAACACTGAGAACTCAGTAATTATGACAGCTAGTCCCCCCTCCTCCAATTACTAATTATATTACCCCCATAAAAGGAGCTTACTGTGTCCTCTCAGCTGTTGTGAAGTACATTACCTTGCAAGAAACTGTCCAGAACTGGCGTTCCGAAGTCATGCCATGTAACTCAATTAAAATCTGACGAATCCTCCAAGGATCCATTGATAATATAAGCTGATGTTCCAGCTGGCCAATACTGACACTTGCTGATGCTAGCATGAAAGATGGGGAGGTCTGCAGTTTTATTTACTCGTTATACAAGTCCTTTGGCACACAGAAAAAATTTAAGAACATAATCCACTCGGGGATCCCATGTTTTGTTTCTCCTGTGAATCGAGCACCTAGTTCATGCCAGGGGCTCCTTATTTTTCTCTATTTCCCTTCTTCACCTTTCCATATGTCACTTCCCTATCACCCTTCAAATTAAATGGCTCCCTGCAATGTCCCATAAGCCAGGGCTCCCCATTTTTCCCTCCCAAGCCAAAGGTTCTGTGTGTACTACCCTGGAATGAAACTGAACGTCACGCACATGGAAACAACAATAAAACTTTATTCACTAGGAGCTCATCAGTTGAGAACACCTAAGGAGAAGGTGACTCTTGCTACACTACCTGGCCACAGTAGCTGTAAAAAAACTGCTATGATCCTATTACATACCAGGAGAGCTACTTTTAGAAAAGATAGAAAAGTATCAGTGCCAATACACCAGATAGTGGTGAGACTGACGAGGGAAATGGCAAACCTATCACACAAGGGACCAGAAGAGCTTGGTATGTTTAGCAAAACAGAAACTGACAGCAGTATGATGCAATTACTCCTCTAATATAGTTATCAACAGCAAATACCAGGAAAAGAGAAGAAACGTTTAAGCTCACAGACTACCCACCTACCACAAAAGTGCTACAAAAACAAGTCAGCCAGAAGTATATTTATGCAGGAGATCAGAAGGTCCTAATCATTAAAGAAGTGGCTCTGCAACAGCATTCCAACCAAAGTAGTAGAAATAAAAAAACCTAACTGCTTTTAAGATGGAGCTTAACAAGTTAACAAAGGGAACTACATGACAAAGTGCCTGCGATAGAGAAGGCGGCACTCTATGATCAAAGAGGTCCCTTCCAACTGTGTGCTCCTTTATTAGAATTCTATGAAACTGACCTGGGATATCATAAAATGAAGTCACAGGTTTGGTGCACAGATTGATTCGAGGGGACCTTTTCCTCATCTGGTCAATGAGCAGCTTCCGTTCATCATCTTTCAGGAGCGTTATGAAGAGCTCATGAGAAGAAATCATAAAGACAAGCTGAAGATCCTCCAAACCCAAACACAAATTCCTGAGCAAGTTTAAAAGATATCCATTAGCAGGACAACTAGCATAAAGTTCTTATTTTTACTGCTTGCATATGACATTTTTAGTAACTTTCTACATTTGCTTTACCTGCAGGTAAAGATTTGAAAGTGATTAAATTTTGTGGAAAATGTACTAATTTGGTCATTTATTTACAGCGGCTTCCCATGGAGCCATTGAATCACTGCAGAGATGTTAATAAATCTATCTATCTATCTCCCGAACATCATCTTGAGATTTGTAGCTGATGGGGAATCCAGGCAGTAATACCACAACATATTTATCCAACATCTCTCTTGGAGGGTTTGTAGCACAGAAAGGAATAGAACGTAGATCGCCCAATTCTTCAGCTAGCACAAATGTGTTAACAGTACATGTATTAACCCCAGTTTCTACTTAAATTAGCTTGGTTAATTCCACCACATCCAAAGAATCCCTGCCTTGAAATGTACTGTGCCCGCTAACTGCTGTTCTTCTGGGTCAAGAACCCAGTTTCTTTTGGGAGCTAATATTTGATGGAGAGGCGTGGAGCATTTCTGAATTTTTTAATAGGATTTAACATGCATAGCCCTTGGGCGGACCCAGCAGTTGCACAATAAGTTGATAGAGAATTTGATTCGTCTTTTGTTTTGGCTGAGGCAATGTTTTAACAGGCTAAGGAAGAAACCTATACAGCCTTCAAGGGAGCAGTGTTAGGCATTTCTCTGTAATAACTCTGGTAGGTATTGCAAACTACATTCATGATTTCTGGAATGGACCACATCCAAGTTTATTTGGCCAGAAAGGATGGGACTCAGAACTTGAAAAAAGTAGTGAGAAAATAAGGATGGGACGGGGGAAGAGAGGAGGGAAAAATGATTTTGAGATGTATGGAAGAGATGGATTAAAAAAGAAAAAGATCTAGTCTCTTGGATAATTCATGAAGAGTTAAACATTCTGTTTTACAAGCTATGCACTGTAAAGGCCAAGTAGTCTAATGCCAGGTACTTACTTGAGAAAAGCGGCCATTTTTCTTTGTGAAGATTCTGAAGCATGTTCTAAATGTATTGACCTTGAACACACCTAGGAAAAATAAGAATTAAATCATTAAACTTCAACAGGAA